CTCTTATGCAGCTCCGATTTGCTCTCCATCTCGATTTTTTTCAATTTCAAGTATTAGAATTTGTTTTACCTTAACTCATACGACGACTCCTGATATCTGTAAGGTCGCCTCTGTGAGATTGAATCTGGAAGTTGCGATAGGGACATTTGGAAGAGAAAAAGAAAGTTGAAAAAGAGAGAAAAGCAGGACGGGAAGATGGCCCCAAGAGGGTCGTAACTACCTAGTACGTTGTACGTAACTCTCTTAAGTTCGTTCCATGACATTGGGCTACCTTTTTTGGTGAATATGTCTTTTTGTTCCAGGTAACCTGACTGAATTACAAATAATATTTCCAAGAACCGTAAATTGGCGATATTGGGGCCTAGAAAATTTAACTGCCGGCCTACATTTTGCACGCTTGATCGCCTCAATCCACTACCGAGCGACTCGTTCATTATCCCTTGGACTTCGTCCCGAGGTTAAGTGATAGTTGGAGGTGTACGGTAATAAGAGAGATCAGGAGAAGCCGCAGTGAGCAGCAGCTATTTTTGCACTGACCCGAATGAATCCCAAGGCTACAGGGCGAAATCCAAAGAAGAGCCTCAAATGCGGTCGTTTTCAAATGTGAAAGCAGGGATCATATTTAGGTAGCTACTAATCTGAAATGTCTACTTCCTCTTTTACTTAACCCTACCCTTAGTTTTGGCAGATTATTCACCAAATATTTCGGTTTCTCCTCATTTGAATAAAATTCCCACGAGCAATAGGTCCAGTTTTTTCCAATTGCAGGCTTCTTCCCATCAAAATCATATACTAGTCGAAGTTGAGACACGTCTTGGTAAAATCAGAGGTCAAGAGTCGATATTTCTCCATAGACGGGTTCGCTCATTTCTGAGGTAACTTTTTTTCTGAAAATAATGAACTAATCAGAGTAAAACAATGGAAAATGCAGAGTTTACATGAAAAGAACTCCTGGATTCAACCGATTTTTCGTTTTTTCTAGTGTTCCTTTCGCTGAACCACCTATTGGTGAACAACGGTTTCGGCCTCCGAAGCCGAAAAAACCATGGAATGAAACGATCACAGCCAACACATTGTCACCGGCCTGTTTTCAGGTTTGTTTATTTGTTTAATCCGGCTCTCAAAAAAGTGGAAGGATTCAAAGAAAAAACAAATAAATAATGAGAAGGTACCTTTGTTCACCATCGAGTAACGTATCCTTGTTGATCTGTTGGCCAGGAATTTTTCGGTCATCGTTTTCATCTAGACGGAACAATATTTTACTGGTTTCCAGATCGATTTCCAAATCGAATAATCCAGTTTTCATGATTTCAGACGGATTTTGTCCCTCAATGTAAATTTCGTTTTCGGTGCGTTCAAATTAGGCAATCAGAGAGGAAACAGAAGACTTTTGAAAAACTGAGAAAGCTCAAAAAGCGACAAGACCTCATTAGCTGATCGATAATGTTTTTATAACTAGAATTTTAAATGAGGCTCGAATGGCTGCAATAAGCCTCGGATATCCGAGAGGAAAAAAACCATTTAGGGCGCATCTAGCAACTATTTTCCATTTGATTCCGAGGTCCATTTCGGTTTTTTGCGCTTGTCCTGGAAGAAACCTTTCGCTATTCAGTAAACTTTTGCTTAGACAGATCATCGCTTTTATCGTTACCTGCTCTTAGTTTCGCTTCGAACGGAGGTAATGCACAGGCAGGCGGCGTATTATCACACGAGTTCGAATCCTGGATGGATATCCGCCTGGGCCAACCAAGTCTTTCATCCTCTCGGGGTCGGTGAATTGGTGCAAGTCTCGTCTGGGAGGATAAAAGAATTGACTTTTACATCTGCTGTCCATCTGTCCTGTTAATTGTATAGGCCTCTTACGCATTCAAAATGCCGCTAGCATTTCGAATGAATGTTGAACGGTGGGGCGCACTCCATTGAAAAGATTGATCAAATGCTTGAACTTTTTAGGTTTTCTTTTGTTTTCTGTATATCAAAATCCTTCATGATGTTTCACTCATGAGAAAATTCGTAAATCAACAATTTTAATCAAATATGCACATTCACAGGATAAAAATTCTTTTCATTGTTCCAAAGGTCTCCTGTAAGTCTCCTGTAATATCTTCAGTATTCTTCTATCTTTTTAGGGTCGTGACATGTATAATACCTCATTTTGGGGGTCAGAAATGTGGAATCACAATACGCCAGTCAGTGAAGATTGTTTATATTTGAACATTTGGACGCCTGCAGACGCTTAGTACGTTTACATGTTCTTCAGATCCTTTTCCGTATAAAAATGAGAAAACTTAAGGCTCACTCAACAAAGTATCGATTGGCTCGTAGTTAGTTGCCCTTTATTGGGTTGAAATTTTAACAAAATGCAAAATAAATCAAGATTTGAGGAGGATACCCTCAAAAAAGATGGGTATACCGGAAGGGGGTGGTGCGTTACGGTAGGGAACGGTAAATGTGGCATACAGCCGTCTTTTAGAACTGGTCGTCGAATCCATGATGACGGATTTCCTTCGCCTTCATAGCTTTACATGCTTCTGAAGTTAGAGTTAAGATCCCTTCTGGGGTGCTTTTTTTCGAGACCGCACCTGGATGGAGACCCCCTACCGAAAGAACCTAAATTCTGAGTAGCTCTGACCTCCCTCCATGTGAATGCTTGACAGTTTGTCAATTTTGAGACCATTTTTTCCTTTCAAAGCATAAGGGAGGGTTTTCTCAAGGGATGTGACAGAAACGTTGCCCTAAAAGTCATATTTGTTTGACACGATTCAGCTTTTGAGATTGCTCTTTTCAGCAATCTTACTGTAATGGTATGGTTGTTCGGTGGAGGCTACTATTCTGGCAGTCCTTCGCTGATTCTCTACGATGGCAAGGTACTTATGTCCTTTTATCAGTTCTTCCAAGTTCCAAAGCTGGAGAGAGCTGTCTTCAGGCACTAGCACTACTTGGTAATGTAATTGTGGTCAATGTAAACTACCGAGTCGGTCCATTCGGCTATCTATATATGGACCACGATGAAGCCCCTGGAAACGTCGGAATGCTTGATCAGGTACCTACACATCCCTCGAAATTTCCATCGTTTCAATACTTTATTGAGTTTTCTCCTGAGTAAAGTTAACGCAAGCTGTAACATTTATAGCTCAGAGACCATATCTTCAAATTCCCTAGAGGTTTTCCAGAGAGTTGGTGTTTTTGTTTGTGTTTTGGTTTTTGTTTATTTCGTCTATATGTCAATGGCAAACAGGCAGGGGTTGGCAACAATTCAGCAGTATCATTGTTATTTTCAAAATTAATTTTTGGCCAAGAAAAACCGACCGCAACGGTTTTACAGTATATTTTCATCGGAGCCAAATTTTGCCAATTCCTAAATATAGCCCCAATAGGACCTGAACGATGACAAAAACGGCTATTCGACGACTAACAAATCCACCCAAAAGAATTTGAAAAGGTCCTGGACGAGTTTCTACTTTAGTAATGACACAGCTTACAATAAAATGGTTTCTAAAGTGAACCTGTGATCCCAAGGATCGCACAAGGAACGTTGTATGGTCGAAAAACGGCCCAGGTAGGGCGTAATGAGAGCCCCAAGACCTGCTCAGCCTTGTAAATCGACAATGCTGCATGTTTATTATAATGAGCAGTTGATCTATGGTTGAAAATGCGAACTAGTCTAGCAAATCCTTAGGGAGGAACACTCGCGTTGGTGATAATAAATTGTCCCTCGGAGCCAATCCCAAGACAATCTTCTCGTCTTTCATATTTTTTAACGATGTGTCGTAGACACTCAACATAATAATAACACTGTTTCCATTGAAAAAGGCTACCATAGACTACCAAAGTGTCTTTCATTTTCAGCAGCTGGCCCTGTACTGGATTCGAGACAACATTTTCAATTTTGGCGGAAATCCAAGTCGAATTACGTTGTTTGGTGAAAGTGCTGGAGCTGCCAGCATAGTAGCTCATCTAATTGCTCCAGGATCAGAGAAGTGAGCCTTAGTCGAGAGGTTTTCTGATTCAGTTACGATCTCTAGAGGGTAGATAAAATTTGGAAGAAATATCATGGAAATCAGTCAAAATCCTACAAAATGAAGGTCCCTTCACATCAAATTTGGTAACTTTTCAGGTGGGAATTAGCTCGACTGTTAAAAAGGGCCACCATGATATGAACGGTCAAGCGACTGCGAGAGACTCAGAACGTCGTTGCTTTGAAGTCTTTTTTTTAATTGGAGGGTGATAGGACCAGTGTTGACCAGCTTTTCAGGAGGGCACAGGTACTCCCTGGGCCACGTACACTTTCTCAACAGCAATTCTCATTTTCTAGCTGCACATTTTCTTGTGGGATCCGGATCATCATAGTGGAGTTCAAATGCGTGCCAGGGCAGTATCTCAACAAAAAAGTTGAGCTACTCTGATATGGGTGACTTCCAACCTCTTGAATCGACAAATCGACCTTGACTTTGTCCCTTACTAGGTGAACTCTTGCAAGCAAAAAGAACTTGGGAGTCTCCCATGGGTCCGGAGCATTTCCTCTTTTTACCAATGGGCAGATGTTCCTTGTTTATTTCTTGTCAATTGTAAACTATATTTTTTAATTCTAATTCTAATTACTCTTTACAAACTATTAATTCCAGCTTGTTCAAAAATGGTATTTTACAATCTGGCAGTTTGGACAATAAATGGTCGATGGACAGTCCGACTAGGGCGTTAGATAAAAGCCTACAATTAGCCAATCTTGTCGGTTGCAATCGAACGGAGGTGAACTTACTTTTTTTGCATTTACTTTTTGACGGTCTAGCCTTTCAGCTTCAGCTTCCATATAAATAATCTTTTGATCTTTCTTTTTAGATGAAAGACACAATCGCTTGCCTTCGGGTGACACCTGCGCAGGTACTCATCGATAACATCTGGAATCTCGACCTGCATTTTCTCGAATTCCCATTTGTCATTGTATCGAGGTATGTGATCAGGTTAATCGGGTGCGAGTTCTACTGCACTCAGAGCCGACGCCATCCATGAGGGCCTACCGGCGATCTGGCCCTTATTGCCGTACTTTCAGGGACAAAAATTTCTTCCGGCATAAAGACGGATTCATTTCTTTGCGAAATGGTCACTACGCTCATCACGTGAATTTGATGTTTGGCATCAATCACGACGAAGGTATAAGTTTACACATTACTGGTTTACTATAATAGTTGTGAACTGAGGGTAGAATAGGCCAAAATCTAAGGATTTGATAGTTCAGGAAACTTCTGGAATATCTACAACTTGGGAAATTACTTTGACAAAGCTGAACAGCCAGAATTGAATCGAGATGAATTTCATGACTGTGTGGAACGAGCTTTTGCTTTCCAACCAGAACTTGTGCGTAGCGCAGCTAAGCACGTCTACTCCGATCCAAACTGTACTGATCCTACCAAACGGACCCAGTTCTACGCCGAACAGGTTTGGTTTTCGAATAGTATACTTTGAGAGCTAACTCTTTTTCTTCTTTGCCTTCTGCTTTCCTTATTGTGATGAATAAGGAAATTGTCAAGTTGTCATCAAAAATTGTCTATTTGTCACTTGGGCTGTGTGCGTTAGGAACGAAATGGTCGCGTCGCGGTGAGGGGGGCGTCGCGCGCGAAGGAACGTAGCAGGATGCAGCAGTAGGTAAGAATTACAAGACAAAAGTATTAATAGTAGAATTATGCATAAAATAATGATCGCATATCGATTGAGCTGTATGAAGAACGCTAGAGCTGATTAACGGTGAATGAGTGGTCCGCGACAGCCGCGTGCGGCAAATCGATTACCCAAAATCGTTCCTAACGCACGTCTCCCGATGACAGCGGACAATGTGACCGTAAGGGACAGAGTTAGGAAGAAGATATGGCATAACAAAACAGACATTTAGCAGCACCCTGCATCTGCTTGGGAGGGTTTAGGGGCTTCAAAGGTTCAGATAGATGTTTCTTCAGGAAGTAAAAGCGCTCTGACTCTCCGTGGACTTCCAATAGCCATCGTTTAGATCGCATTCACTTACCCCTACATTTTGTGTGAAAGCTAAGTGTATAGCAAACTGCTCCATCCACACTCATTGCTTAGGGTTTCGAACATTTGGTGAGGGACCTAGAGAATTAGAACGGTTCATACAACACACTACGAATCTTCGTTCAAGCGTATCAGGGTACAATGTGATAGGGCTATGTTTGATCACAGCAGAGACCGTGAATATTCTCCAGCTAAGACTTTTATCCCATGGAAAATTTTCGGGTTCACTGGCCATTTCCCTCGAAGAGGATGGCAAAGTTCGCATTTACTGCAGTGTAATAGATAAAGCTGAAGCATTTTCACACCCAGCAAAGAGTTGTCGATTTAGGTGAATCAGATGGTCGGCGACTACTTCTTTACATGTGACAGCATTTGGTTAGCCGATCAATTTCGTCAGAATGTAGAACGGACTGGACAAGTTTATATTTATTACTTCGATCAACCGTCGAGGTTAGTTTTCAGGTCGAGATTCGCCGTTCTTTTATCCATAGGTAATTGTATGAGTTCGAGTCTATATACTTCAAATGTTACTCAAAAGTCCCCACATTTTGAAGGCACAGTCCACGATAATTTTGTGAAGTCCGGTTTTCACCGAGTAATGAAAGCAACAGTCCGGAATATTGCGAAAGTAACAATGAAAAATATGAAATACCGCGTATTTAGAGAAAGATGAAGCTTCGAAACATAGAAGCTTCGGAGCGGAAACATGGTCGTTACGAAAATCGGATATTAAAATTCGTGCGTAACCCAAAGGAGATGGATAGGAGGATGCTTGGGTTATGTGTGCTGGACCGATGGAGCTGTGAAAGGATAAGAGCACTCACTAAAGTCAGTCGCTGGACGAACGCGGCTTCAATGAGAAAACTCATGTGGGTCTGAAAGATACGAAGGTGAAATGGACGAGAGTGTATGGACTCGCATGGTTACGACAAGGATTCCATATGACTACGTGGACCGAAGAAGGCAAGGACAACCTTGTATTCGATGGCGACATATATTGTCGAGGAGGACCGGAAAAAACTGGGGAGTATGACGAGGGAACACACCAGTCAGGCCATGATACGGCATTCGAATATGAATTGATTTCGTAATTAAGTGTAAAGTGTAAAGGCTTAGAAAAAATACTAAAATTATAGGTTGGACGGGAATGTGAAAACGAAAGTTGCATGGAAGAGCTACTTGGCGTTATAGCGCACAGCTAACTACAGTAAACCAAAAATGTTCGAATTGTTTTCCTACCAGCTGATGACCCTAGCATAGACGGTTTTATTCTGCGCTTCTATTATATATTATTTACTACTACTCTGCAAAACAAGTATTCAGATCAATTTAGTCGCAAGTAGCAGCAGCGGAATCAGAGAATAGTCTAAAATATACAATAATAACTTACGCTACGAGATCATATGATTAATTTTTACCAAAGTTGCTCCAATGCTAATACTGGTGCCCAGCAATCAGATTTCATAATAAATCTAAGTCTAGCGGGGGATGTGGCATTCACACGATACAGCCTCTGGTCGAGTGTTGTGCCCTAACTGGGTCGTTTCTCGAGCCTAAAACCGCAGGTACGGTTGGTATAAGTGGAGAGAACCGCGAATTCATACTATGGGGAAAGCTCATAAATAATTTTCATCGTGAGCTGGGCCTTCATAGGGAAGCTTGGTAAGGCAGAACGAAAGGAAGCTTTCATCAAGCATAAAGCTACGAAGACAACATTGGAGTTTGGATTTGAAGTTTACTTTGAAGCCGGTGAAGAAGAGAAAGCGGTCCTTCTCAGTTCAGTAATGTCGGGACTCAATCGTTAGAGTGCCTGATACTAGTGATACTCGTAACAGTAGAGGAATAGGAGGGACGAATAGGACCGTAGAAACTGAAGCCCAAGAGTGTAGAATGGTATAATCACTTTTTGAATTCAAGTGCCATGCCACTATGATAAATTAAAGGCACAGTTCACTATAATTTTGAGATACCCCTATCTATTCGAAAAGCAGAAGTATAGCTTGAAATATAATAGTAGAGAAGGCGAGAGAATTCACCGATTTCGAAAGAAATATGGCTCCTTAAAAGTTGGGAAAGTAGAGGTTGGACGAGATTACCATGACAAGTTGTTTGAGTTTCCTGCATGGGTTCTCTTGTGTTAGGTGCAGCCTCTGCAATGCCGGTGAAACTCGTCCGAGGATACACACGGGACAATCTTTGGGCCTTTGTAACGTTCTAACTAAGCCGTTTTCCGACCTGTTAGCGTCAGATATGGTATACCAAGAGACCTCGAATTCATACAATAAGAAATCTCAGAAACAATTTTCATCGTGATTACCTTTACCTTCACCAATCTGAGGAGGTTTCCTTTTCAGTGCCAATCCATGGCCAAAATGGACTGGTGTCATGCATGGCTACGAGATTGAATACGTGTTTGGAGTGCCGATTTATAATGAAACTGCCAAATATACGAAACGTGAACAGATCCTGTCGGAAAAGATCATTCAGTACTGGAGCTCCTTTGCCACAACCGGGTCTGTACCTTGAGTTTTATGATACTATTACTCCTACGAAACAAGAGATCCATTCAGGGTTCCGCGACTGAGGGATGCCAAGTCAACCGATATATGGCCGGAATATGATGGGGTCAACAATACTAAGTAAGCTCATTTTACGTCGGAAGTTTCTAATGAGCTTTTCTTTCCGATTGGAAGAACAGCTTTCAAACCCATTTGTTCCCCGATCGCGCCTTAATGACACAAGCTCTCTGAGCTCTACCAATCCCAGTCGAAAGGAAGTGTCGGTAAAGTTACTCAATCTTTTCATAGGTGGATGCTGCTTAAAGGCGGATCCCACGTACGGCCGACACCGTCTCGGAAAAAGGTCGAGTGTGACTTATGGAGGACAGCGAAAGATATGGAATACAATTCTTACAGTACGTTCCGTGTATTTTCCTCGGAAATTCTCTTTCAGAACTATTCCGACCAATGCTATTTTTCAGAAGCTGAGCTGTTGCTTTCCTCTGCCTTCAGAATCTCGTTGTCATCAGTTTTGCTTGTGCTGGTGCTGTCATAGCCCTATTTGAACAGATAACAATTCAATCCAGAACCCTTACATACCCCACCACGATTGGCAGTACTATATCTGAGAACCTTAATCATACTTCATATAATGCTGATTGAGTGATTACGTGATTTTAAATTCGAGGAAGTGTTCAAATAATCATTGCAATCACTTGTACATGAGGTTAACCGTGTTGAGAACCACTACCAGCAAGTTTTCTAGAAAGCCATATTTTGGGGTATCTAGTTGTAGACGAATAATGGCAGGTTTGTTCAAAATAGTGCGAAAGTGGCGAAGGAATCGGCTCAGTTAGAGAGATATTAAGCTACAAAAGAGTGTGAAAACCAGGGATCGCATGGGAGGGGTACATGAATGATCTGTCGAAATGTGAATTTCATTGCGTGCACGTGCGGGTATGTGTACGAACGTGCGTCCGAGGATGCGCGCGGCAAATTGCGCGGCGAAGTTCGTAATGATTTGAACGACTTTGGCGCCTGTCATTGGGGCCCAAATTTGAAATAGAGTGGATTAGGAGGATCATCTGACCCTACTAAACTACACTGCTTCGAGTTTGTCCCCCGAAAATTGGCGTCGCAGTCGTACAAAACGTCAAGAACTTCGCCGCGCAATTAGCCGCGCGCACCTCGGACGCACGTTCGTACCGTCCCCCTGCACGTGCAGCTGAATGCAATAAGCTGCCTGCATGCAACATGTGCGTTCCGGTGCGAATGGTGCAACCTCTACAACTTTCCGCTATGGGTGTCTTCGTCGGCTGTGCCGATTTCAGAACCCTTACAACGTCCTACTCAAACCATTTCGACCCAGCAGTGTCCCTTGTGCTATCCTTGGGAAGTTCATTCTAGAAAGAAATCCTACATTTTATTCATTCTTACGTTTTACAACGGTGTGAAAAAGTTTGTGAACTCAAAGTATAGAATAAAAAGCTCCTGGATATTGCAAGGGAGTTGGTTTTGGGAGCAAATTCCTAATTTGTTTCCTTCGCCTGTTGCTGTCTAATGATATAAACCCTCATCATTCAGATGCAGATCTTGGATAGCAATAAACCATTACCCTAGTGAACGTAAATAATAGATCTGTAGTAGACCCGCGATTGAGCTCGAATTCGTCTGAATCTCCGATAGGACTATATAGAGAACCTGTTGCGTTTCATATTTCCCTGCACATCTGCCTCGTTGAATTTAACTTGATCTTCAACTATACTTACATTTGTATGGAATTTTATTTTTTTATTGTTAGGTATCGTTTTTAATTCTGAGTTGATCGATAAGAAGAGCTATTTCAATAATCATTGGTCTTTGGATTGTACATATTCTATTATATTATAGTATCATTCACTAGCTGTTTAAGTATAGGAGATCGTGTAGATGATCTTTTGCTTGTCTTCGTTACCACATATCATGATATTGATCTTTATATAAGAGTATAATCGTGATCTTGAATTCTTGCCAGTGCTTTTTTTATTAATTTGTCATTTTGAATGAAATTTCTACAATTTGACTGCAGCAAGCATACTTCTTCACGTAGTTGAGTGATATTGTAAAGATCGAGAAGAATTTTTCCACATGTGTAGATATTTATAATTGTTGCTCACTCACGATATAGAGAAAAATGCGGTTAGTCTCGTCAAAAAGGAGAATGCTAAGGAGTGCCTGCGGAGGATCGTGAATATACGATACACAGACCACATCACTAACGAGGAATGTCTGCGTTGTTATGGTGTGAATAGCCTCGAAGTTAGTAGCACGGCGTATACTTCGAATGACCGGTCATCTACTACGTAATCCGCAGCAGTGGATTTCAAAAATGGCTATATATTGGATACTTCCAGGAGACAAACGAGGAAGAGCCCGTCCTAGAAACACGTGGAGAAGAACATTTGAAAATGAACCTCTAAGCCTCCTGAGCTTACGCAGCGTCCGCGTTCGATCCTTGCCACCCGAGATGTTGCTCTGGCCCTCGCAGCTCCTGCGCTGGTCCTACTCCCAACAATCGCGATACGCGGGGACGTCCCATGACATGGTCCAACACATGCACAACCAAACTATATCAATGAAACGTATAGAACGAGTACGTTTTCAAAACAATGTTAGGAAAAGTCCTTACGTCTACGCCAGCAATGACCAAAGGAAAAAGTTATAGAAGTACGATACACTTACATACAAAAGGGAAACAGTCAAATGCTTCAATAATTATAATAAATATGACGATGACCAAACAACATACGCGTTGAGAGGCTCGAGCCCAGGGTGTTGCAGCTTCCGGACTTGGCGCCTTCAGGATTCCATGCCCGAGACCATCTCTACGTTGTAGATCGCACTGCAAAACATTCTCGACCTCAAGCAAGTTCCAACGGCAGAGTAGCCAGGTTCACCGATGACAACGGAGACACATTGGTGTTTTTAGGCCAGACCTCGCGTCTACTCTGTTCGACGCGCAGACGCCTATACGCAGTTCGCGTCAGGACCCCCTCGCACCCTACCGGGCGTGGGCCTTTAAAGGGCCGGGCGGAAGCAACGACACCATGGATGAAGGAGCAGTTATTGTACAGAGGAACAGAGAAGAGAATTCATCAGATGCACTAACTTCTCGCCTTGTGGGCGTCTCCATAAGAACCGCATATCCAACGACGCGCTTGATGGGTATCAACGTCAAGATTAATCTTGAAAACCGTATCCGAACCGATAAATATTGAGAGCCTTCAGCTGTGCAACGTTGTTACAATCTTGATATTTACGTTTATAGTGAAAAAATCAAAAGCACTACCCTAGTTTCATTCAGACCAGATCAGATAAAATGAGATGACTGTACCTCCTTTCTGGAATCGAATGCTCCAGAAATGAGCTACTCATCGCAGACAGATTTCAATTGCTTTGGCTAATTTTTAGCTGCATTCCAGAAATAAACCGAAACGCCGAGATGTCATCAATATGCTAGGTGTGGATTGAATGATTTTTGTTGGAGTCGTTTTTTTAAGGAAGTAAGGGTTCGTACTTACAGAGCAGGAAGGTCCAATAAAGGAAATATTCTATCCAGAAAGTAGCTTCATCTTGTCACCCTTCCCGCTTCAGTTCTCGCTACTCACATCGTCTGGACCAATTTTCGAAAAGCTTTTTCTATAATGCTTGTGCCTCCACCGATGTCGAATCGAATAGGCCAAAGAACGCTACTCCCTTAACTGGCTGTGCAATGTTCGAGGTTTTGCTGGCATGTATAACAGCTTCCGAATCTCTGAATTGACGTGTCCCAGTGTATGATAAAAGGAGAAAAAAATGAAACTCATGAAATAACTTTGACCAAAGTACGCTTTTCTTTCTTTCCTTTCACTGTCATAGTTTTTATTGTAATTTCGTCTTATCAATTTCCATATCAACCATGCACGTGATTGCTTGCAGCTGCCGAATTTATAGGTCAATGTGCAGTATTTCTCGGTGCAAACTTATTTGTGACAATTAAGAAAAAACATAATATAAGAAAGAGAGGCCACCATCAAAATTGAACCACTCCTAGCGTTATTGGCCATAGC